ACGCAGGGAAAGGGGCCATCACCCTTGATTCCGTTTTCTCTCACTTCCCACAGTAGATCAGTTATCAAATCTCTTCAGCCTCCTAACTATCTCAAAAATGTTTCCATTTCTCATCCATCCCCACTGCAACTACCCTGGTTCAAGCTGCCATAACTTCCTGCCTGGATCATGGCAATACTGTCCTAACTAGTCTCCCGGCGTTCGGCTGAAACCCCTCCAATCTGTTCACAACCGTGTAGTCAAAGTCATTTTTCTAAAACATGATTTGGTGTCAGTCTCCTGGTTAAGACCTCATCATGGCTCCCCAGCGTGCTCAGGTAAAAGGCAGAGCTACTTAAGGGGTGTTCAGGAGCCTTTCACATTTTTAAAAACACTTTTTATTGAGTTATAGTCAGTTTACAATGTTGTGTCAAATTCCAGTGTAAAGCACAATTTTTCAGCCATACATGAACATACATGTATTCACTGTCACATTTTTTTTCGCTGTGAGCTACCACAGGATCTTGTATATCTTTCCCTGTGTGATACAGTATAATCTTGTTTATCTGTTCTACGTTTTGAAATCCTAGTCTGTCCCTTCCCACCCCCTACCTACTTGGCAACCACAAGTTTGTATTCTATGTTTATGAGTCTGTTTCTCTTTTGTATTTATGTCTTTTTGTTTTTTTAGATTCCACATATGAGCGATCTCATATGGTATTTTTTTTTCTCTTTCTGGCTTACTTCACTTAGAATGACATTCTCCAGGAACATCCATGTTGCTGCAAGTTGCATTATGCTGTCATTTTTATGGCTGAATAGTATTCCATTGTATAAATACACCACATCTTCTTTATCCAGTCATCCGTTGATGGACATTTAGGCTGTTTCCATGTCTTGGCTATTGTAAATAGTGCTGCTATGAACACTGGGGTGCAGGTGTCATTTTGAAGTAGCAGGAGCCTTGCACACTGAATGCCCATCCACCTCTCCCGTCTCAGGTCTCGGCCCTCTTCCCTAACCCACTTTCAGTTCTGTGAATCTACCTTATTGTCGCCCAGCTCTGGGCATTGTTCCACATGGACCTAAACCTTGCATTCTCCCCTTTCTCCCCAACTACCTCATCTTCTTTCCTTAATAATTTCTTCTCATCTTTCAGATGACACCATCTCCAAGAAGCCTCCCCAATCCCCCATCCAAGATGGACGCCTCTGTGCGCTCTTACAAAACCTCACGCCTTCCTATGATGACATTTCTCCTGTACGTGACTTGCTTGCTTACTTATCTTTCCCCCGTAAGACATGAGCCCCAGAAGGACAGGAATTCTGTCTTGCCACCTCTGTGTTCCCGGGGCCTAATATACTACTAGGTACATAATGGGTGTTTGATAAATATTTACTGAATGGATAGATAAAGAAATGAGTACATCAAATTTTACTCTATTAATACCTCTATGGGTTTGGGTTATTCACTGTCCTGGACAAGATGTGATTTCTGAAGCCAAAGCTCTTAATATTTGGCTCTTACCAATTTCAAGTAAACATACCTCCTTACCCTCTCCAGCCACCCCACCCCTACCCCACCAGCCCGGATTCTCTGTAGACTTCTGGGCCTGTGTGTTCCTGTATCTTGAACACATATGACTGTTGCGTGTGCACTCTTAGCCGTGTCCTTCAGAACCCGGGCCTGGGCTCTCCTGGGCTTGGCTTCTCCTCCCAGCCTGGAAGTACTCATCTACATGGTGCCCAGTGCAGAACTAACCAGACGTCTCTTCAAGATGGAGAGTGGTTTGCATGGAATAGGTCTAGATCTTTGAATGAAAGGGTTGGAGAACCAAGTTATTACTCCCCAGTCGAAGATGTGAGCTGGCAGCCGAAAAGCACCTACAGTTCAGAATGTGAAGTCAAAACTAGCAACTCCTCCTGGCCGCCGGCAGAACGCGGACCCAAGGCTACAGATGGGCCTGGCGTCCACCTCCGACCCCTTCCTCCTCTAAGACTAGTACCCTCTACACCCAGACAACGAGCTCCCCCAAACCACGCTTCTGACGGGCTCTCGTCCCTCTCAGGTGGTGATCGTGAGTACTACACTATTCAGAGATTCGATCTCTAGGCAGATGGAAAACCCCTAAAGCGGAGCTCCTAAAAGAAATGCCAAAAGCCGTGTCACTAACATGCACATAAATTGTGACCTCCAATACCATCCTGCTAGGAAAATCAAGATTGATTTTTCTTAAAGAGTTGAAAAGGCTTTTGTCAGACTTGAGTCCAGGGTTGCTCTCTGACCTGGCCGAGGACCCGGGTTCTTGTAGTTCTAGGGGTGACCTATTTGTGGTGAGTGTCCTTGTAAGCAAATGTGACAATACAGGTGGCCCCCAGGATATACAAGGTCCCAGGCAAAGGGGCCCGGGCCCTGCCCACATCCATTCAGGTCCCTTCCTTTTTCTAGACACCTTCCATACCCTCGACCTCTCAGAACCCTTCGAAATGAAAAAGGAGTGTTGACTTAACCATCTTTCTGCCTCTTTCCTAATTTTTTTGGGAGGTGTCAGGAAGCTATGATTTTTCAGGCTAGTGTAAGAATCAGAAAATACTGATGACACTGCTGTTCATTCAGGGTTAGAGTAATTACGGGTTTGGAGGATCTGGGCAAAGATCATTGAAAGGAGTG